GGCCCTCGTCTTTTCTTCTTTCCTTCTTGTTTTTTTTTTTTTTTCTTGCGGTTATCTCTGCAGTAAAACGATCATTTTTTTTTTCTTGTCATATTTGCAACTTGATAAGAAAAGAACTTAACTCTAGTGGTTTAATTCAGGGATGGGGAAAATAAAATGGGCTCTATAAAGGAACACTTTTTTTTTCCCTTCTCTTTTTAGATCGATCTAGTGCCTTGGAAGTAGAGAAAAAGTTAATAAAGACAGCTTTCCAGCCCGTTCAGAGGCGGTAAGAGATTACTTCCTCGGTCTCCTAAGAATATATAGAGAGAGTTGTAAATGGTTAGATTATTTTCTCCTCTTCTCTTGCTCTCTTTGTAGGGCAGTAACTTTTTTCTGCCTCAGCTGTGTGGTGGGTTATTCTGATTTTTTCTGTTGTTATTGTCTTTTATTTCTTTCTCTCCTTTCTTTTCTTCTGTTTTTAAAATTTTCTTTTTCTGTTAACTCCTGTGGATTTTGTGAACAGTTCCTCACAGAAAGCCAAGTTGTGTAAGGGTTTCTTGCACTGCTCAGGTTTGGTTTTGTTCCTGTCAGAAAAGCACAGGGAACACAGCAAAAAAAAAAAAAATGCTGTCCCCGAGCTCACGCCGTAGGTAGGACAGGCAAATATCAGGCCTGGATAAAATCAAATAAATAACCTTTTACTAGTCTCTGTATCACAGAGGGAAATTGAGTGAATGATAGAAAAATAATAAATAAAAAAAGGAAAGCTGCTAAAAATGCATAAGAGCCTTCTTGTTGCTAGCTTGGCAGAGTATTCTTTGAAATCAATTATACTTTCAACTGAGTAAAAATGCAAAGATTGGGCTCGTGATATTTTTAAAAATTAAATAAATTCAGTATAAGATGCTCTTAAAGTTTTAAAAATATATATATTTAGAAATCTATTTTTAAAAAATAACAAAAATAAAACGAGTGCTACCTAAAGTAGAAAATGCTTGTGCCAGCCCAATCTGACTAGAAACCCTATTAAATATTTCTTCTATGTCATTTTTTCCAGGCCTCAGAACCAACTTGATGCAGCTATGGTTCTATCAGCGTTGTCATCCTCATAGTTAATTTTTAATTGTTGTAATGATTGTAAAAAAAAAATCTCTGTATAGTTACAACTTGTAAGCATGTCCGTATATTAAAACTAAAAAAAAAAAAGAGAAAAAAATGGTTCTGTACTATCATCTGGATTAGCAGAGTTTGTGAGGTTTTTTGGAAGTCCAGTGAGAAATAGGTGTTTCGATTTTTTTTTTTTTTTTGTACATATGGTAAAAAGGGGAAAAAAAAAACAACTGTACATACGTGTGAACCAAATTGTACAAGAAAGTATATATTTTTGGCTAATAAATAAACTGTTGCCACTTTGACTACCCCCTCCGTGCCCCCCGCCCCCGCTCCCGCCGCGGCGCGGGCGCTGCGCGGGGCTCCAGGCTGGAGCCGCAGCGCCCCCTGGAGGCCGCTCCGCGCCGCTCCGCGCCCGCGCTGCTCCGTCGCGCTCGGTCGTGGAACCCGCGGGGATTTGCGAGGGGTCCGGGAGCTGCTGCGCGCAGACACCCCGCGGTGGGAGCCCCCCCGGGCCGGGGCCCCCCCCCCGCTGCGCGCGCTGGCGGGGGGGACACACTATTCCCCCTCGCCAATCCTGGGAACGTGGATACTCACAGAGGTGGCAATTCAATATCATAGCGTGGGTGACAGACCCTATGGGGGTGCTGGGGGTGCTCGGCGCCAGGAGGCAAGAGTTAAAGCGAAGTTACAGCGGAGACGGCGGCGCAGGGCTGACGTGCTTCAAGTTTAGACAGTGCAGGATCTGCAAGCGCGCAGGGCTGCGGTATTGACATTTTGAGGTCAGAGTGATAGGAATGTATTATTTATAGGAGCGCGTTGTGCTGGGCCGATAAACCACGTTTTAAATCCGAGGCATTTGTAAGCGATAAGATTTATGTATACACTATATATTTACACTATATATATGTGTATGGATACAGGCATGTTATATATGCATTTCAATGCTGCGAGAGAGCTGCAGAGTTTGCAGCATTTCTACGATCCCTACCGCTCCCTCCCCAACCCCTTCCTCTCTGCATGGCCTCTCCGGCCACAGCGAGTCCCGGGAGTGGCGGTTTTCCTGCCCACATCCCTGGCACATCCGTGTTTCTGTCAGGGATAGTTCCCCGCCTTGCACACTGCCAGATCCTGAAACAGGGAGGAAAGGGGGCCCTGTGGGTGGGTGGCTAGAAAACAGTGTGTTCTCATGTAAATTTTACCCAACCTCTCCGCGCTCTGTAACCCTGCGTTTTCCTTAGCCAGATCTTGCCAAAGGAGGGGAAAAAAAAATAACGGCATGTAAAATGGGAGGTGAGGAAGAGAAAGCAAGAGGCAAATTTCCACATGCCCATCCCCTGGACATCCTAGTGGGTTTTCCATAGAAACTTTCACACAGTGACCAGACAGATGCTTAAAGGGGATGGAAGATAATGATGGGAGCACAATGGGAAGATGATTCCATCCCCGGCTCTCCCACACCATTAATGCCTTCCCAGCCCAGCACGGGCTCCGTGTTCCACTGCCGGGGTTGCCTGCATCATATTCCTTAGAAACGCTCCTCGCAGCTCGGCCCGGACAGGCCTCCCTCCGCTGCCGCTCCCTTGGCTGCTCTTTTCCTGTCTAATCAATTATCCCGCTAGTGAGTCCTTCTCAAAGGTGAGATCTCATTATGCATATTCATAAATCACAGCGCCCAGCGCTGACACTGATTGATGGAATCATCTCCCGCCCGCGCCTTCCTCAGCGGCCGCTGGTGCAGGGGAGACGTCCCCGGTGTCCCCCGCGCTCCTGCTGGGGCCACTGGCCACAAAACCATTCGCAAGAGGAAGTTGCATGGACCCAGGAATCGCGGGAAGCTCCTCTGGGACAGATAACTGCGTTGCAGGCAGAATGAAAGCAGTAGGGAAAAGATTCAGCCAGCCCGTTCGTCCCCCTGCAAGTTTCCACAGTCAGGAATCATGCTCGAATCCACAGTCCGAACATGGGCTAAAATAAACCCCAATCCTCCATGGCAGCTATCAGCCTTGCTTTCATTTTCCTTGGGTACTTAGAGCTGTTTTATCCCTGCAAGAAAAGAGGCAGCCTGGTATGAATTCTGATTGCCAGCATTTAGACACACCATACAATAAAGCCCTTTCAAATACACCTGCAACTGTTCTCGGTAGCTCTGCTAAAAAAAGAGAAAAGTTGGGAGCGGTGCAAGTTACTGCTGCAGGGGCAGGAGGGCTCCCTCGGACCGGCCCTTGGCTCCAAGGCACTCGGGTATCTCATCTAGGATTCGTTTCCCAATGCGAGCTTAAGCACGGCAGCGTTCGAGATGCTGTTCCCATTACGTGGTTTGCCTGCATGGCTAATATTGACACTTTTAAAATGCCTCTTTCTATCACTTTGATCAGAACTATCAGTGTACCAAAGCAATAATACAAAAAAATACATGTCCTGGAAATCGTAACAAGATACAAATCAAAGTGAGTCCTAATCAAGTACTTTTGAGAGCGTTATCTTCTTGTTAACAAATGGCAATAAGAAAATTAAGGCTTATAGCTTGCTTGCATTTTATCTAAGAAAACCAATAAAGATACCAGATGCTCTTTGTTTTATATGTTTGAATGTAAAGCGAAATAATGAAGAACTTGTACCTTGTAAGGATTCATTTGCTTTATGGACATTAACCCCTTGCCAGGCCAGGGAAATCCTGAATTTGTAGAAGGAGAAACAACCTGCGCTGCTGCCCGGGTTGCTGAAGCTGCTCCCTGCTGCAGTCAGGACAACGTTTTTTTCTATTAAATGCTGAAATTGGAACAAAGCAACAATGGCTGCTTGCTAACTCTGCATGTCCAACAGGCCTCTTTACTATTCGGCAAATGGAAGATATTAAACAACATTTTGCTTAAAGGTACACTGAGGCCATTTCCATTAGGACAGGGTGTCATTCATTTATTCACATGTTAAGTGGATGTCCTTGTGGCTAATGAGTAATAATCAACAGTGACTCCACTTTATTCCTTTGCTCCCAGCAATGTTAAATACTCTGATGGAGTCTCTTTGCTGACACACTAGAGAATATGGTTAAAAAGTGCTAAAGGACATTTTCAGCATAGAGCAGCCACATGCGCGCAAGCTGGAAATGCCACTTTTATTACAGTCTATTCTATTAGGCTTTGTTCCCGATTGAGGCACAATGCAAATAAATATCAGAGGTTTCTGTGAAGACAGTTTATGCCTTAAAAACGTGGGATTCTAGGTGTGAGAGTCCATTTGGTTATTACTAGGAGGTGAGTTCCTGGCACCTGGTTTGTAAAAAAAAATCAAAACATACATTGGGATGCATTCCCTGGATTCTGTACAGGACTATTCACGGTGATGCTTAGTGGAGGAGTGATTTAGGACAAAATCTTTCCTGCATAAATCTAGTTTGACATATATTTTATAAAATAAAGTAGCTCTCCTAACACCTAATTAATCCATTTTATTATATCAACTTCAGCGGTTAAGTAGGTTAATAAACTATATTAATATATATTTTTCCCTTTACACGATTGCTTACACTGGAGTCTCCAGCATGGTTGTCTTCTGTGTCAAATCCTGAAGTTTGAGAGGTATAAATGAATCATTCTTGGTCATGATTAAGCTTAAGTTAGAAATAAAATATGTCAATCAATCTGGTTGGAAATGTTCCCGCTGTCTAAGTTGGTTATGCAAAACACTCTAAGGTGTATAGGCATGCTCAATTAGGTCAAGGGATGTGATGGCACTCCTAGCCATAAATGCGTGTCACTTGGATTCCTCATTATTTTTAGCACTGGTGAAAATGCATGTCAGTAGGCCAGCTAGCCGGATTAGAATAAAATTACTTCCTAAGCATGCTCATCCCCCAGGTTTTTAATACATTATTATTATACTTGTTTGCAAGCAAAGTAGAGGAAAAAAAAGTATCATCTCAAATCTGACTCACTCTATTCAATTTCTCACTAATCACTGGTGTAATTCATACTGGACTACGCAATATTGAAGATACCTCAGCAGTAAAGTTTAAGTGCCTAAAAACATAGATGTAATATGAAATTAGATACAAGAAGAAAAATATCGATCTGATACATTGCAGTGTAACTTCCCAGAGCAGTAAGCATGAGCTTTATGGGAGTTGAGAC